GGAGATGATGGGGAAGGACTGGAAGTGAGCAGGGTGGAGGTGGGGTGGGCTCTGCTCTTCTCCTCCACTAGCAGGTCCTTTTTGGAAGCCGTGGCTGGGGTTCACCTGCTCTGGTGCTCTCTCCTCACTCCTGCCCAGGAGGCTGAACTGGAGGGTAATGGCAGAGCCCCTCGTGGGGGTGTCTGGCCTGTGTGGGGACATTGTCTTCCCCAGTGCCACCCACTGTCACATTCCTGGGGCAAGAGGGTCTGACTTGGGCTCGGGAGCATGGTCACCTTCCTTGCTTCCAGTAGCTCCCTGGATTGTCTCACCTGAGTATCCTGTGCAGGATGGAGACCATGGAGAGGACACTGGGCAGCCCAGTGCTCTGCAGAGTGTGACACCCCTCAGGTGCTGCCTCAGGCTGGGCAGGGGGCATCCTTCATGCCCTGAGGCTCCCGTGCACAGCTCCTGCTCCACCAGGACAGCCTCAAAAAGAACCTGCAGCTGAAGGGAAGAAGTGGCAGGAGAGGGGCCAGAGGGATTTCAGTGGCTTTGGGCCCTGCCCAGAGCTCAGGGATGCTCTTTTCCCAGGGACTGGGAGCTAAAGGCTCCTTTTCCAACCCCCTCCCCAGCCAGAGCTGGGAGAGTCCCAGGGTGCTGCTGGGACTGGCCTGGGCTCAGGGAGAGCACAGACCCCCCTTGTTCCAGCAGGAAAACAGAGGCACAGAGAGTTCCACAGTCCTCCCTCTGTTATCCCGCTGGCTGTGCCAGGGCACAGGGCTTTGAGCTAAGATCCTGCTCCTTTCCCCCTCCAGAGGTGGGGAAAAATGGATCCCCTTCAGATATGGATCCCAAATGCCTTCAACAGCCCCTTTGGACACCCCAAGGCACAATGTCCTGATCCCACCCCAGCAGACCCCCCGTCCCTAGGGGGGCACATCTGGAAAACCCCTCAGGAAGGGCAGTGGCTGTGACAAACCTTCCACAAACCCAATCCTGAGCCCCAAACGCAGCCCTGCCCTGGTGATGGGGTGATTTGCTCAGACTCTGGGATAAGTGCCCACCTGGAGGGCAGGGTGGTGGTCCAGACCTGGCAGGAGGGTCCCTGAGGAGCAAGGAGTGTGCCAGGAGGAGGAGATGTGTTTGGGGGGGGGGGGTGTTCATCTTTGGTCCCAGTTTTTGAATGTTTTGGGCAAACCAGATGCTGCTGCTGGAGTTTTTGGCTGCTTGTGCTCCCAAAGAACCCCTGGGCTGCTCCATGGGGCAGGGACAGTCCTGGAGCAGAACCTGGGAGAGCACAGGGGGCAGAGCAGCCTGGGATGGGAGAGGGTCTTGGAGAGGACTGCTGTCCATGGGGCCCTCACCTCTGTCCTGCTGAGGTCTCCTGCTTGCCCAGGAGAGTTGTAACCCCAAAACATCACCTGATGTGTTTTCTGCACTGCAGCCTCAACAGCTGCCTCTGCTTATCCAGGAATTCAAAAGCAAAGCTGAGCAGGTTTCCATATGGATCTGCAGGAGACTTGAACCCCACAGGGACCTTGAGCTGCAGGGGTGGCTGCAGGTGAGAATCCAGCTTGGGAGCAGGACCTGGAGGTGGGAAGTGCTTGCCATCTGCTGGAGAGCTTCCCCTTGGCACAGGCAGCAGGTCCAGCTGGAGCATCCCACAGAGCCCAGGTCTCTCCCAAGGCAAACTTGCTTTCACGGAATCGTTAAGGTTGGAAAAAACCTCTGAGATCATCGAGTCCAACCTCTGACCCATCACCACTTTAGCAACTAGACCAGAGCACTGAGTGCCACCTCCAGGGCATCCTCTTCCAACGTCTAATCACCCTTTTGTGAGGAAATTCTTCCCAATTCTTCCTTTATTTCTCTGTTGTGAGACAGTTTTGGCTGCTGGAGTGGGATCACAGAGGGAAGGATTTCTGTGTAGGATTTGGGGTGTGCAGGGTTGGGTGTGGGAGCCCTGTGCTGCCCCTGGGGCAGCGTGGGGAGTGCATGGGGCAGGGGCTGTGGGTCTGCAGAGCCAGTCTATCCCTGTCTTCCCTTCATGATACAGGAAACCTTCTCCCTCCCCACAACTCCCTGAAGGAGGTTGTGGTGAGGTGGGGGTTGGGAAACGGCCTCGAGCTGTGCCAGGGGAGGTTCAGGTTGGATACTGGGGGAAATTTCTTCACTGAAGGAGTGGCCAAGCCCTGGCACAGCTGCCCAGGACTGTGGTGGAGTCACCATCCCTGGAGGGCTTTAAAAGAAATACAGATGTAAAGCTCAGGGACATGGTGGCCTTGGCAGTGCTGGACTCAATGATGCTGGAGGTCTCTTCCAACCTTGATGGTTCTGTGATTCCATAATTTCCATGACCCCACATCCACCAGTGCTCTCGTGGAACACTATTTTCTAGATTCCTGCAAGTCCTGACTTGCAGTCCCCTGTACCTCCAGCTGGTGACAACAGGAGGCAGAGTGTGCAAGGGCAACACTCCCTGTGGCAGCCTCAGGTCCTGCCTCTCTCAAACGATTTTATCTTCATTCCTCTGAACCTCATCTGCTGTAGATAAACCAGTCACACTGTGCTGTACCTACCAGACAAGCCCCACTCAGCTCCAGGCTGGTGGGTGCTCAGAGCAGAGGGTGTTTTGGGGGAAACAAAGGCATCATTTGGCTGGAATTTGGGACAGGCTGTGTCTGTCCTGAGAAGTGCCACCAAATTTCTGTGAGGGCCACCTGGCAACCTCCCGCTCCTCTTGGTCCCATGGTGAGCCTTTTTTGGTGCCCCAATTTGGTCTTGGAAGATTGCAGGAACTGTAGCAGTGTGTTTGTGCCTCGCTGTGGGCTTAGAAACTGTTGGTATCTTTGTGCTGACATTTACCAAAAATATTCATCTGGAGGCATATCCTGATGTATAAATTTCAGTCTGGGGATTTTAATGGGATTTCACAAGCTACTCTGTAGCCCTGGTGGTCCTGTAGGACCAGCTGTCCCGGGGAATCAGATGAACAGTCCTAGAGCATGCAGACTAAGGGTCCATCCAGACCAGCCTGAATATCTCCAGATGTGGCCACGGCAGAGACCTCGAAGAGAAAGGCCAATGTCTGTGCTCCCAGTCTGGAATGCACTCCCAGCCCCCAACCATTTTCATTTCCTGAATTGTCTTTGAGCTTCTCCCTCTGAAATTCGAGGCCTGAGTCAGCCACTTGGAAATTTCCTTGAGATCACCATGTTCCTTGGCAAGGAGCTCCTGGTGTGAAGAGCTTCCTTCTGTTCCTTTTGAACCTGGCTCTTGCCAGCTCCATTGGATGGTCCATGGTTCCTGCTAAGGAGAAACAGGGACTATTTGCTTTGTCCCTCTTTCTAGGCCACTCATCATCTTGCAGACTTTAATTCCCACGTGGAAAGTCTCAGTTCTTCTCAAAAGTACATCTCATCCAAATTCTTGCTTGGAGCTGCCCCCCCTGTGATCTCATACCTCCCCCAGTCATTCCATTTCCAGCTGATTTGCTCCCAGTTAAACCCAGTTTCCCACATTAGTGGTTAGAGGGGGTGTGGTGGAGCCTGCTGCCTTCAGGGCTGAGCAGAGGCTTCCTCCTGCATCCCAAAAGTGTCCTGGTGAGGGATCCAAAGATACCACGCGTGATTTCTATCAATAGATGAAACACACCATAAGGCAGAGGTTTCACAGCCTCCATAAATAGCCACTCTTTAGGATGTGTGATGTGGAGGAGGTTTTAGAAATCAAAATATTTAGAGATTCACATTATTTGTCTTGGCAGGAAGGAGCAGCCAAGACTGAAATACAGAACCTTCGAGGAAGGAACAGAGTTGAGGAAAACAGTGAATAGGGGGAATAGCAGAGGTGTCAAAACCTCCAGGAGTTCCTTTTGGGTGAATGGAAGCAGGAAACACGGTGTGTCTGAAAGGAGGGAGAATTCATTGACAGTGTTGAGGCACATTTATATTCCTGATAGAAAATAGTGATTTTTTCCAAACAAATCTTGACATTTTGATCAAACCTGTAGCTGAATGTTGCAAGAACATCCAGAACACTCAGCTAAAAGCAGCTCTGAGCTGGACTGTGTTGGTGTGAGCCATCAGCGAGGAGGCTCCAGCTCATTCCCCAGCCTGTTCTCCTCCTCTCAGTTTTATTCTGGTCCCTGTGTGGAGATGTGTCAGAGGAGTGGAAGGTTGGTCTGAACAGGGGACATATGGAAGTTTGGGTCTGAGTGTGCTGGTAGGAGCAGGGGGTGGGAGGGGTGGATGTTGGTGGCCCCTGGGTTGGCAGGTCATCATGATCCTCTCCTCATCTCAGCCCGCTCTCAACCTCATCTCTGAGTGTTTCCCAGTCAGTCAGATCTGTCTCAAAGCCTTTTTCTTGCACCTCCAGCCTCAACCTGCCCCCTGTACCCTCAGGCAGGGCTGTCAGCTGAGGTGTGTGACCTTGTTGTCACCTCCCCTGTCTCCTGTGCATGGCCAGCCCTGTGGACAGGGGACCAGGAGTTTCATCCACACCTTCCCCAGCATCCCTGAGCAGCAATGGGGGAAAGAGGATGCCAAGAGCTCCCAAAGCAGGGGAAGTGTGGGAGCAGGGTGAGGGGAACCCTCATGGCTGGGCTGGAGTTGTGGCATGGCTGGATTGGGAATGGGGATGGTTGGGAGCTGCTGTGCCTCTGCTAGAGGTGTGGCACGGCCAAAGTGGGAATGGGGATGGATGGGAGCTTAATTTCCCTTTGAGTTCCTCCTCTGGGTTCCTGCAAGGCCTCCACTTTGGGCAGGGGCTTCTACTTTGTGATCATCCTCAACAGAGAGACAGGACCCCTTTTGTCACTGGACCATCAGGAATGGCAGCCTGCTCTCGTGGCTTTCCCATCGTGCTGTGGTTGTCCAGCACATGGACATGTTCATTAGCACCATGGAGACCTCACTCCTCCTGCACTCTCCCGAGGCTTTTCCTGGGAGCCAGCAGAGCCCTCCTGTAGGGATGGAGCATTTCCAGCAGGAGTTTTTCTGCCAGTGCAGTGACACAGTTCCTGGCCCAAACAATATGGGCTAAACCAGCCAATCTCTTCTCTGTGTGTCTGTGGCTGGTGGGACAATGACAGAGCAGTGTCAGGAGGGTGTCGGTGCTGGAACCAAATGATCATCTGAGCCAACTCTGCTGTGCCGACGTGCTCATGAGCTCCTGATGCTCTCTGTGAGCATCAGTGGCTGATTACTGTGTCCAGGGAGAACTAAGCTCTATTTTAGCTCTCACTGGTGATGTAGCAACAGAACCAGTTCCCTAAGGACTAACTGCAAAGGATGGCCAAGGGCAGAAGAGGAGCCCAGACCTGGGATGGCACCACGCTCCACCTCCTGCTCTGCACGTTTATGCACCGATGGCCTTCAGGGCCCCATGGAGGACGCCCCTGTTGCCTCGGGGCAGTGCTGCAAGTGGGACCCAGCAGGGCTGTGGTGGGCACTGCCTGGTCAGCCTGGCTCAGGAACGTTCCCTGCTCCAGTTGCTGTGGCAGAGGTGGAATGTCCCGTTTGCCCGTGACGCAGATGTTCTGGGAAGCACGAGCGTGTGGCAACCACGGCCGCTCTCCGTCCACTGCCGCGACTTCCAGAGAAGAGATCCACCTACTGATTCTCTGAATCGCTAATTCTGGGATCTCTAGAGAGTCCTCTGGTCAGGGGGAAGGAAGCGATAGGTCATATCCTGTTCTCTCTTCTTTCATGGTATCATACCATTGATGGGCACTGCTCTCACTGGGGCTCTGGACAGTTCCTCCCCAGGCCCATGTGGTGCCCCTGACACAGCACTTCTCCCATTGTGTCATGGCTTTCACCAGTGTTTCCATCATGTTTCCATTTTTGGTCACTGTCTCCCTCTTATAAAGAGGGCTGAACCCAGGGATCCCACACCAGGCACAGCCAGGGGCACCCTGCACCAGTCCAGCCTGACTCCTACAGCTCATCTCCACCCAACAGGACCATGAAGACCTTCACAGCAGCCCTTGCTGTACTTTTTGTGGCTGTCCTCTGCTACCAGGTCTCCTCTTCTCCAAGTGAGTCCAAGCTCTCTTCTCCAAGGAGCTCTCTCCTCTTTCTTTCTGCTGTACAAGGTCTAGTAATGCTTGGCAGCTCTCCCTTCCCAGCACCTGCTGTGGGAAAGGAGAGACATGCCTTGCCTTGGCTCCTTGAGGGGAGGGTGGCTGTGGTGGGAGCCCACTGTGGGAGCAGCACTTCCTCCAGTGGGGATCTTCTCCTCTGACCCCACTTCTCCCCACTGGCACTTTTCCTGATCTGGTGTAATCAGAAAAGTTCACTTCTCTTCCAGTTTCTCTCGACCATTTCGGTCCCTGCTGCACTGAGTTCATCACCAGACCGTTGCCCTTGAGACTTGTGAAGAGCTATGAGCACACAGGCAGACGCTGCTCCCAGCCAGCTGTGATGTGAGTAGATCTCCTGCCCTGCTCCTGGGGGCCCTGCTCGTCCTGGCAGTGCCAGGGAGCCCCACATCACACCTCATCCTGACGAGGAAAAGCACCAGGCAGGGCTCTCCCACGTGAGGAGAACAGCCTGGGAACAGCTCAGAGGACAATCCCACATCCCAGGCACCCAATTTCTGGATGTCCTCATGAGATTTGAGCCAAAGGAGGTTTTGCTGGTCACCCCTCATCCACAGACAGTGGGACCCAGGCAGGATGGTGTCCCCAGGCAGGATGCCGAGGACAAAGTGGCTTAAGTGGCAGAGAGCAGGACACCTGTAATGACACTGAGCCACCCCCCACCCCATTTCCCTGGGGCTGTTTTGCAGCTGTGGAGGTGTCTGCTCTGGTGGGGTTCACTGGTGGCAAGGAGCAGATCATCCCACTCTTCCTCTCCATCTCCCTTTCCCCTCTCCCTCTCCTCTCCTCACTGGATTTCCTTCTCCAGATTCACCACCATCAAGGACAAGCTGGTCTGTGCCAACCCTGATGAGAAGTGGGTCCAGGACATGGTGACTCAACTAAAGCACAAGGAAGGCAGTGGATGAGCAAAGCCCTGCTCCCTCCAAGCATTACCTCAGCAAGGACCTGCTCTCATGGGCACCTCCGAGACAAATCCCTGCTTTCTCATTGCCTGGGAGTTTGGCAGAGTATTTAACACAGCGTTTAGCTCTTTTATTTAAGTTTCTGCAAAGGCA